AGATAAAATAGGATATTGTTCCAAGCATAGCACTGAGTAGTACAGAAGAAAGTATGAAGTCCTGAACAAATGACAGAAGCCCAGAGAGGAACATGGGTATAAGATGATGAAGAAAAAGAGAGAATTTTAATTCATGTTTGAGCTAGTTATTTCACTTTCTGAGGTTGAACTAAACAATTAGATGCCACAACACAAATTAACATTTTCTTTCTTTCGATTATCATTAGATAATAAATTTACCCTGCCACATACAATCTACAACACAGAAGGAAAACGTGCTTCAGTCAAACAAGTAGAATACTGCTAATTCATTCCTTAGTTTTATTTTAAGCAAGTGTTGCAGGATCTAGTTCTCTTACTGCTGCTCTACTGGAAAACATGTACCCTGTTATTCACTGTTCTGTCTACTATACATGTGGCACTTAGTATTTTTACAAGTATTAAGACTTTCATAGACTGTGTCTTGAATTTCAGAAGATAGGCTCATAAGTGGTAGTTCATTCTGGCTGTTGTGCCAAAGATGCATCCAAGATCCTATCTCAGAAACTTATAAAAAGAACAAGAAGATTTACCCAGCATTGCTCATTAGCTTGATTAATTTTTGTTTTTCTTCATTTAAATCATTACTCTGGGGTGGAGGTGAGGATGAGGGGTTCAGTAGGCAGGCTGCCCCAGGAGAGAGAACTACCCCAAACCTCTCTCACCACAGCAGCTTGGGACCAGAGAAGCACCTCTCTGTGGTCACTACAGCCCAGGCAGGCACAGCCGGGGCAGAATTCATTTTCCCCCAGCTGACGCAGGTCCAGGTTCATCTGCCCCTGCACTCTCAAGCCAGAGCGAGGAATGCAGCAAACTGTGCACTTTCCCCTGGCTCCCTACCAAAAGGGAACAGCCAACAATGTTCCTGTACGAACTGGGGGAGAATGGGAGCTTCATCCCTCCCTTCCTTAAAAATGCTTGGGGGATGGGAGGGTCGGGGTCGGACAGTTCAGGATGGGGCGAGCATGCCCCCAGCCAGCCCCTTTCACCTGCCGGGTGAGTCTGTGTTTTTTTTAATGGTCTTATGTATCCAGTACAAATGGGGGAGGAGGGGGCTGCATTATACCATGCCAGTAACAACAGTTAACTTCTGTATCAACACAGTACAGCTGCTCCCCGAGTTACGGCCACCTCCACTTACGACCATCTGCACTTATGACCAATGCGGTCGTAAATGCGGATCCAAGTTACGAACGGCGATCCGTGCTTATGAACACCACAGTCGCCATGTAACTCTATGGGATCTGACTTACGAACACTTCGAGTTATGAACCAAGTGTTGGTCCGTAATTTGTTCATAACTTGGGGAGCAGCTGTAATTAATAAAAGGCAAAAATGCAGTCTTCTTAAGCATCCCAGCCCTTTGCTCTTCACTCAGACCATAGAATTTGACAAGTGATTACTAAAAACCAATTTTATCAGTTCTAGGGTCCTTCCAATCCCAAGGGACCAGCCACTTAGCCAGATCAATGTATAACTCAGATCTTACCCCAAAATCATGCTGTTGCCAATCCTTTAGTGACTACAAATTAAAGCTTCAATAATAAAAGAAAAGAAAACAAGAGCTATAAATAGCTAATAGATCATATACATAAAAAGGATTGCAAGGTCTTTGTGATGGGTTTGGTCACAGAGATCCCTTTGAGACTCATTTGATGTGCTGAAAATACCCATCTACCTGCTCTCTAGGGAGCTGTGACAGAACTTCCAGTCTCCCACACGGATGGCACAAAACCCACAGCAAAGCAACATAAATACCAAGAGCAGCTCAGCTCTGGGAGGTCTCAGTCATAGGGACTTGACACAGCCAGGTGCACAGCCCCAATGGCATATGCTTACTGGGCAGGATGAATTCCTTTAATGACTCATTGGGAGATGAATAACTCCATGAGTCATCAACACAAAGTTGACTGTTTCTAATATAAGTTCTGTCTGGGGGATGCTATCCAGGAATACACCATACTTGCAAGACACCAACACATAGTTAATATTCATAACCAGAAACACAGGTGATACATGCATATAAACAGTATAATCATACTTAGCCGATCATAACTTCTCTCTTGACTCCTTACACAATATACTCTCTACAAGATGTGTTGCAATTGTACAGCAGTGTGAAATCAAGGCTATAAATGGTCTTACTCCATCATATAGCATCACACACTGTGCCTGGGGGTCACTGCTTCTTGAGCACAGCATTTATAGTTGCGAGATTTCCTGTTCACTCCCCAACAAATCATAGCACCCGAAACAAAAATTTTCTAATGTGAACCTAAAATGCACTAGTCCATAAATGTGACCAACTTACATATAGTTGAAGTTGGCAATGTGATGAGTTCAATCATAAGTATTAAGTTTTCCCCTTTTCATTTCATTCAATCATTTTCTCCCAGCACTAGTCATGGATATTGAAGTTAACATTTGTCTGTATTTCATCACTTTGGGTGGAAACAACTTCAATTTTAAAACACACTGAGGCAGCAAGTCCAACAAATCATTTTCACTGATATTATATTTTATCAGGTTTCTGTCACTGGTAATGGCTCCTGTTTAGAATAGTCAATTGAAAAGGTAATCTTATCAGATGTCTCACTTTTAAAACTCCTCTGAAACTGCTGCTTACAAACTGATATTAATCACTATTCTGCGAGGCACAAGAGATAACCAGACTATCCAACTATTGCAGGGTATTTGCTGTTCAAGATTGGAAAGCAGAAAGCATCTGTGCCGCACCCTATTTTGGATTGAATTAATTGACCAGGTATACAACATCCCAGTACTGCAATCGATGCAGTAAGACTTTTATGCAGTTTTAAGAATTTTTGCTGTTATTAAAGAACTGTGGTTTTCTGTCACGACCCCACTAGTCTAATTTAAAAAAATAAACCCCTTATTTTGTGGATTTATTTCTAAAATTTGTGCCAATAATTAGATTTCTTTCAGTCAGATATGCACATTTCTATTCTATTCACCATAATTACACTTAATGGCTGCATCTAGACTGGCATGATTTTGGGCAAATACTTTTAACTGAAAAGTTTTGCCATTAAAAGTATTTGCGCAAGAGAGCGTCTATACTGGCATGTGCCTTTGTGCAAAAGATTTGCTTTTGCGCAAAAGGATCCATGCCAGTGTAGACGCCATTTTAGCCATCGGGCTTTCTTGCGCAAGAAATTAACGTTGCTGTCTACAGTGGCCTTCTTGCATAAGAATACTTGCACAAGAGGGCTTATCCCTGAGCGGGAGCATCAGAGTATTTGCACAAGAACCACTGATTTTGTACATTACAAAGTCAGTGTTCTTGTGCAAATACTCGCGTCCAGTGTAGACAGGCAGCAAGATTTTGCGCAAAAGCATTTCCTTTTGCACAAAATCATGCCAATATAGACGCAGCCAATGAGAAAAACAGACTTTACTTCCAGAATGCTCATCTACTATGAAATGATTTTCCCACAGAATAACTTACTATGTTACTGCAGTTTGTACACCCACATCCCTACTGTGTCAGTCCCTGAGGGTATGTCTACACTACCCTCCTAATTCGAAATAGGAGGGTAATGTAGTCATACCGCAATTGCAAATGAAGCCCGGGATTTGAATTTCCCGGGCTTCATTTGCATAAAGCCGGCCGGCGCCATTTTTAAATGCCGGCAGTTCGAACCCCGTGCCGCGCGGCTACTAATCCGAACTAGCTGTACTCCTCATTCCACGAGGGTGGGTGCAATATTGGAGTCTCCAGAGAAAATGGGGTCACCTCTCTGCTCCCCTAAGCAAATGCGTCCCCCCGCTGTGCTGTGACTGCTGCCCCACTTACTGCATGCTGTAGGGTGGGCATGCTGGCAGCAGAAGCAGAGTGTCCAGAAGCATGCTAGCAGCTGACACTGGACGTGAGGCTGCTGTGCTGGAACAAAACTAAATGCCGACAAGCCGTTGGTGGTCTTAAACAAACTGGATCCCACATTCAGAGGTTATCTGACCTGCCCTCTATCATCCACTGGGGGATGGGGAACCTGAGGCTAGCCCCCAGCTTCCCTGGATATGGCACCTAAGGCTAAAGACTGCCTGCCAGCACTGGGGAGTCCATGCTAGCACTTCAGCTTCCCTCTCCATCCTCCCGCAGGGCTGGAGCACAGAAAATCTACTAGCCCCGGCCCCCCCTAGGCTCTGGTGTGCAAGGGAAAAGTGTGGAGAGTCTTTTTCCTCCTCAGTAGGGGGGCCCGTCAGTGAGGGTTAGGTGTTTTTTTCCCTTGTTTCTCACTTGTGTGCGGCCCCCAACTGATTTTTCTGTGGGTCAGCGGCCCCTGACCCAAAAAAGGTTCCCCACTCCCATAGTAGATTCTCTGAGCTCAGACCTCATTAGAGACAACTTGCTCCCCATTGCCTTGAGTGCTCCTGCTGGCCTTTCCCAAGACAAGGGAGGGAGAGTGGCACCCAAGTTCCCATCAGTTCCAGGCTCACCCGTTATAACTCCTATTTAACAGATAGCCAAGGCATACAACACTTATACCACAACGATCGTAGATTGTCTTAGAAATTCTACTAGTATCTTTTAAAGAAAGTGAGGGATCCTGTGGCACTACATCCACAAGGCTATTTTCACTCTTATATTTAAAATCTTCCCCACCCTAAGGGTATGTCTACACTACCGCGCTAATTCGAACTAACTTAGTTTGAATTAGTTAATTCGAACTAAGCTAATTCGAATTAGCGCAGCTAGACCTAAAAACTAGTTCGAATTAGCGTTTTGCTAATTCGAACTAGCATGTCCACATTGAGTGGACCCTGAACTGAGGTTAAGGATGGCCGGAAACAGTGCCGGCAGGGCATCAGATTAGGACTTAGAGCGTGGAGCTGCTGTCTCAGGCTAGCCGAGGGCTGCGCTTAAAGGGTCCCGACCCCCACCCTGGATGTATCGGCCCATCTGGGGTTTCAGCAGCACAGTAAACAGCTCTAATGAAAGTCTCTCTTATGCTGAGCCCAAAACCTGAACTAGAAAAAAAATTAAACCAGGACTCCTCAAATAAATGGCAACAGTTATCTGTCTGAAACAGATACTGGTACCAAAGTGATAGCCAGAATGAATTAAAAAATGAGGTCACATTCCTCCAACTTCTCTTGCAGTACACAAACATAAAAACTTTACACATCTCAACAGCTTTTATCTGTGGCTCTCACCTGAGTTTTCCAATGAAACTTTCCCCTTCCCGGGATAAATCTGTTGGGTCAATTGAAATGAGATAATTGGATGTTTTGCTCTTTTTCCGTTTTCTCCCTGCAAGAAGGAAGGTCTGCAAACACAAAAAACTTTAGTCACGACAAAAAGCTCTGTAAGAGCCCAGAGGTACAGCATAACTTTTGCCCTCCGTCCCACTGTCCCTATCAGATTGCTCTACCTATCAGCTCCTACCCACTCTGTCAGACTCCCTCTTGCTATCCCTATGTCACTTCCATTCCACTAACTTTTCTCTCCTGCCAATGACCAAACAGCCCCAAATCTTGGCTGCCTTGAGCTCACTGAATGGCTCAGACTATAAGCACCTTTCCATTCTAGTTTTTAACCAGAAACTCATCCCTCTGCTCTTCTTTTACTGCTGCTTTAGCTCACCTTCTTTATGCTATTGTTTCCACACCTCCCAACAGCTGCCTTAGTACCATGCCCAGATACAGACCTTCACCCCATCTTCTTTTCAAAAGCTTTCTCAGCTCCTTGTTCCTTTCCCATTTAAGCACTGCTCCTCAACACAGCTAAAGGTTTTGCACTAGAAGTTTAGTAGCCCAGGGCTGGAGACCATGTGCTGGTCCCAATACCTTTCTGTTGTCATCCCTTTCAAGGTGCATGTAGTAAGTGGGGAAGAGACCTCGGTCCATTCCTTTCTTATCTCTAGTGATTCGACACTTCACTGTAATGCCACGGGGAGCAGGGCGTAATGCAAACTCCTCCAAGTTCTCCACTTCTCCCAGCTGAGCATCTGTCTCTGGGGAAGCAGTGCAGGAAGCACCTCTTTCCTGTGGGAAGACCTATCCCATTAGCAAAATGAAATCAGGGCAGAGGCCCTTGTAGCTTAAGAGATGAATGGCATACAGGGTAGGAGATCCCCATATCACCAGAGGGCAATGATATATTGGGGAAGTGAAGCTGGATCAGAGAAAGAGGAAGGAGAAATTGGTCTAGAGTCCACAACAACTAGAGGACAGAATGGCTTTCTTCCCGCCTATCAAAGTTAATTCAAACTAACGTCCGTTAGTTCGAATTAACTTTGTAGCATAGACATATTCTAAGAGATTGTATGTCTACACTACAAAGTTAGTTCGTCTGGATCTTGGATTAGGACAGGCTGGGGAAAACTATGGGACAATGGGCTAAAACCATCAGCGTGTTTATGCTCGCTCAGTCTGTATCTATAGTGGAATTAGATCTCCCCATAGCATGAGTGAGCAGTGACTAGAGGAACAGTGACAACAATAAAGGTGCAGAAGGTGCAGCTCAACAAAGGGGCACAGATGGCAGTGGAAGTTAGTGGAGGACTGGATATAAGGTACAGAAGTCAACACCATGGCTTCCCTCTGGATTCAGGTTTGAGCAGGTTGGCTACAGTTTGGGGATTGGAACTAGCATGTTTTAACACTGAGGTGCTTTACTAGGTTGTTTTCTCCTCTAACAGCCAGAGCTTGGGGCCAACCAACCTTGTTCATTAATTAGGTGCAGCTGAGGAGGGGAATCACATTTCCTACAGCCAGGTTGTCAGTAAGGAAGGAGAAGCAGGGGAACAGGAGCATCAAGGAGTTCCCTGGAAGATGCTGCCAGAGTCCCCTAAGAGAGGAGGATGAAAGAACCTGCTGGAGTAGAAAGGAGCCTCCAAGGAGAAAGTCCTGAGAGACAGTGCTCAACCAAAAGAGCAAGAAAGAATCAGGCAGTGACAGACAAAAGAGAAAAAGAGGTGTAGTCTTGGGTGGATTGAGGACTATTTCTGTATCTTTTTGTTTGTTTGTTTGTTTTGTATATGTCTGGAAAATAAAACTGTGCCTGGAAAGAGACTTTGATTATGGGAATGAGTCCCTTGTGGGCTGATACAAGTCAGCACCTTACATATGGGCATTAGAAGGCATGGTCTGACACTTACTGTCGCAGATTTCTGGCTGGCTGCAGAACTAGGCCTCTCAGATTCAGAATACGGAGAATGAGATCCTGACCTCTTTCCAGCTTCTTCCTCCTCTTCTGTGTCCTCATCAAAATTCAAACTGCCTGAGATCCCTGTCAAAATGCAGGACCAAGCAGGTGTCATGAATGCACAGCATCACCAATTCACATGATACTCAGTTACCTTCTCTGCTTTGATCCTCACTTTAACCCACAACATACCTGCCATGACTAGTTACATGGGAAAGTAATATTAGGGTAGTAATGATGCCCTTTTAGCTGACTTAAAAGTCTAAAGCTATGCACCTAAATCCTTATTTCCATATCTCTGAAAATCAGCTCACTTATTTAGATACCAAAATGGTAACTCAGTAGCCTAATTCCAGACCCCTATGTTATATAAATTTATTTTTACATATTTCTACGTACATGATACTCCTTGCATATTTACATTTATATATACATGATGCTCCTTGTTGTAGTTTGTAAGACCGAGTGTCTCTCAAACATTACTGAATGAATCCTTATATTCCTAATGTGAGTTTTCTTCTCGTGGGATATTGCTTTTCTGAGCATAGTGACATTTTAGTGAAATGAGTAAGAAGCTGTCTAATAAATACACATTTTCCAGTTGTTTTTTTTTCTCGCGCTGGCTTTTCTCCTATGCTTTGGTTCAACATCAAATGGGGATAATATTAATATCACATACATATAAGTATTGTTAACTTCTTTAAAAAAGATTACTAGCAGTTGTGTATTGCCCAGAAATAGCCTTGTTAGTTTTTCAAGCCCCCTTGTTAATTACTAGCCAAATAAACCAGTCTTTTCTTGTGATCTAAACAAGTTTGATGGAGAAATCATTGAAAAAACACAGAACCTTCCTGATGTCTTTTTGACAGTCTTTGCAGAGAACAGTAAGGTTACAGTAAGAACACAGAAAAAGACAGCTATCTTTATCTAAATTCTACCTAACTAGGTTAATTGATCAAATGGATCAGAGCAGGCTTAACTACCTGCCTTCCTCAGCCCAGGTGGAAACTCTCTGTAATTGAAAAGTACAGCAGGCTCTCTGCCTCAATCTATTTAAAGGAATTAATCCTTTCAAGTAATCCCCATTTACCTAGCAATATGTAATACATAGGGAAAGCATTTCTGTATCTTTATTTTTAAGAGTAGCAAATCAAGCTTAACAGCGGCTTTGACTTTTTTCTGTGATCACAAAAGAATCAATCTGGAAAATTTTGGTACACATTCCTTTTTTAAGTTCTTCAGCTCTGTTCCACAAAAGAAAGCTGGCAACCTTTTCCTTTTGTCTGATCTTTATTATCATGGTCTCTCACCGAGGGAGCTGGGTACCTCTTTGGTTTCACCACAACCCAGCAATCAATAGGTTACTTGTCTTTCCAAGATTTCTGCTGTCTACATAAATAAAAGTTTTATTTTATTCTGGTAACTGACAATAAGCTACATTGGAATGCCCATGAGAAGGTCACCCACTAATATCTTTTTGTACTTAAATGCTAACATTAATTTTTTCAGCCCTGTAAATTACAGTCTAACATCCACCACCTTACTAAAATGTTACAATAAAGTTTTTGTTATTAATAGGAAAGTATTGTGGAGAGCTAAAGTTCCATAGTGAACAGCCAACACAGTAAAGCATTTTACTTGTATACAGAGGCAAGTGAAGTTGGGTGACCAACATTTTAAAATGGAGACCGGACGTGAATATGCTAATCATATTTACATGCATTAGTTATTCAAAATTAATTGTTTGAAAATTCATAAAGAAAATTATTTGTACAAAATATATAATTACGCCACAAAACACATAATGTTCATAATTTACAATTTATTTACATCATTAAGTCCTACTTCTGTATCCTTCATGTTGAAAATACCTTTGAAAAGTATAAGATTTCCTTGGCAATAATGATGAAAAAAATCACTAAAATACAGAACATTAATGTTACACCTTCCTGTTTTATTTTGTGAGTTTGTTTAAAATGTTGCTTTCCCTTTCTAAGCTTATCTTCAGAACAGCAATCTGAGTTGGCTCACTGTGGAAACATTTGAAGTTACTCAATCACAAGTGTGTAGCATATTGAACAATTACAGCAGAGCTCTGTTTATCTGATCTGTTTATCTGATCTTGTTGGAAATGGGGCCAGATCACATAATCAAACCTTTAGATAATGCAGAGAATGGGAAGTGCAGTGCTGTCTAACAGCCACAGGAGACATCAGCCACTTCTGGACTTCTGTGTACTCTTTGGTTAATACACAGAGCTGGGTAATGGAGGTTCAGATAAATGGGTTTCTATTGTGCTCTCTTCTGGGGCTTACTGGGGACAAATTTTGGTGAACTAAGCTTCTTCACACTGTTTATCAGTGACCGCCCCTGCCCAGGAGCCCGTGGTTAGTACTATCCTCGATTCTTGGCATAGAAATACTTGGCTTATCTTCTGGCCTCTTGTTCAGCTGCAGCTGTTATTCCACCTTCATTCCTGCCACTTCCATCTTTCAATACTCTTCTCCTCTCCTCCAAATGCCCCATCCCTTCCTACTAAAGCCCATTCTCCTGGAGTTCTCCTACCTCCCAAATCCTGCTGTAAAACTACACACCTACTAATTCTATATAGATCTTAACTTCCTCTGAGTCCATGCCTAGATAGCTCCCCATACACACACACACACACACCATTCTCAGCAGGGTTGCATGTTCAGTCAAGGATTGATATATTCAGGAAACTCAAACAGTCTTTGGGCTAATTGGATTTTTTTTTTCGCCCACTTGTTTCCTTCTAGTCAAAGAACCAGGCTGGTAGAAGAAATGTGAAATAGCTGACAGATCACTTCAGCTGACTATTTCATGTCATGCAACCATGGGGAATTACTGTTTTGTGTTGGTTTTGGTTTATAAATTATCAAGTGTCCTATCATGCAAGATGTTATCAGCGTGTGTACTTGAAATTCTTTAAAACCATATAAAAGCCCAAGAAAGATTTCAGAGACAGCAATTGGCATGTTCCATGCAAAATCACTGTGTATTATTTTAAGAGGAAAATATGGAAAATTCTGTTGCTCTCTGAAGCATTATTGTTAAATGACTGGGTACTCACCTAAGTGTGAAACTGAAAGAGTTGAGTCCCTTTGAGTGACTGTTGCAATGCACCCTCAGATCAGTGGGATGCAATTAATGGGATTTATGCACTCAGAACCATTCATGACCAGGCCCTTACTGTTCCAGCTAAATCAGTCTGTAGAGCAGAGGAAGACCGTGATTTAGTATTACAATATTTAGTATTACAGAGATTACAGGCCTTTAACCTGTTCCAATTAAAGTCTTAAATTTTATTTCTAAATTGCCATTATCACTTACACATTTGAGGACCCTACAAAAGAAGATGACATCCTCTATACATCCTCATACTGGCTACATCTAAACTGGAGAGCTATTTCAGGCTACCGTAACCCAAAATATCTATTCCATGTCTTGAAAGCAGACAGTTCTTTCAAAATAGATTTCGAAATAACGGGCATGCTAGTCTGGTGTCCCTGTAACCTTTGTTCCACAAGGGTAAAGGGACGTTTTGGAACTGCACTTTATTTCAACATTTGGCACTGTGTAGACAGCACCACATTTTGAAATAAGCTATTTTGAAATTACCTCAAAATAAACTATGCAATTTGCATAGTGCAAATTGCATAGCTTATTTCAAGGTAAGGGTGCAGTGCAGATGCACCCAAGGAGAGAGGTAAGCAGCAGTCCCCTAAGAATCTGTGCTGAGAGAGATAAGCAGCAGTCCCCTAAGAATCTGTGCTGGGTTCTGTGCTGTTCAACATATTTATAAATGCATATGCCTGGATGAAGTTATTTTAGTATTTAGTTAGAAAACGGTTTGATAATAAGTTTATACATATTTTTCTTAGTGATTGACTTATGTTAGTTAAGTTAGTGGTGTTTTATTAGCCCTGCTTTTCTTTCCTTTTCCTTGTTGGAAGTTTGGTTTTTGAAATAATTGTGCTGTTCTATGTGTGATTGAGGTATATGTGCTATGTGAACAGGTAAGAGAGAGAACATCAGGAACAAATAGGCCTAATTATAAAAGAAGGAGTGATGAAATTAAGGTGCCAATATCAATGTCATCATCCTGATCACCTTGAGCACGTCTACCCTGCACTATTATTTCGAAATAACAAAGTGCACATCTACACAGCAGGCCATTATTTCGAAATAATTTCAAGATGATGCGCTTCTTACTCCAACTTCTGTAACCCTCATTTCACAAGGAGTAAGGGAAGTTGAAGGGAGAGAGTGTTCTTCCTTTGACTTCCTGCTATGTAGACAGCACCAAAAGCTGAATTAAGCTATTTCAACGTACACAACTTCAGTTACGTCAGCTGCAGGTGCGTATCTTAATTTGACTTTTGCCCTGCCATGTAGACGTGCTCCTTAATGGCTGGAGAGTGCAGACTGATGACCCCTAAAGTGCAAGAGGAATCTGTCCTGAATGAACAAAATACAAGATAAGGAGATGGGAGACCACTCGTGAAAGTAAGTAGTTTGTGATTAATGATCCAAACATTGCTGATGAAAGACGATTATGAAAAAACAACTATTTTGTGATTCAAGCATGACTCCATAAGACACACAGACTTATAAGATGGGCAATAGCCAGGGGATTTGGGGTTCATTCTGCAGCAACAATGGAGCATCAGTATGCATCCAACAGAGGTCCAGATTCCACTTGTGTTCAGGCTAGGTGGCCACTAGACTTACTCAAGCAACAATACAGACTGGTAACTCTAACACCAGCTGCAGAACCTTTTTGGTGGATGAGTCCATATGTGTGCATATAAATGCATATACTGATTTTAATACAATTTAGAATTTTAAATAAATGTAGTGTATTGCCTTTTACCCTGAAAAAGATTGTATGATTTTTATAAGCATCACAAATTATCTGAAAAGAGAAATCGGTGGTAAAATTTGCAGATGATACAAAATTCCTTGAGATACTTAAGCCCAACGCCCACTATGAAGAGTTATAAAGGGATCTCACAAAACTGGGTGACTGAACAACATGAAATTAAATATTGATAAGTGCAAAGTCGTGCATACTGGAAAATAATCCCAACTATAAATATAAAATCACGGCATCTAAATTAGCTT